AAAAAAAAAAAAAATCTATGCTGAATTAATATAAATCCTAATGGGGTTTTGTTAAAATGGTTAAGAAAGGGAAGTCCTGACGATAAAGCAAACACCACAAGCTTAAGGGCAGTTATAAATAGCATCAATATTATTGGGGCATCGTTGCCATGACAGTGCCTTGTAAGAGGGATGTGGTGGGGATATGAGAGACCGGACAGGGAACAAAACTGTGACCACCTGTCTCTGTGACCATAGAGGGGACTTTTCAAGAACCTCAAAAGACTTCCTGATCTCACTTCAGAAAGTCATGTCCAATTTCCCTCAGGCTTCTGCTTCTACCAGCTGACTTTATAAGATTGCCCAAGCCCTGTTGCAACAGAGGAAACTTGTACCGCGTCCCAAATCATCTCGCCTGCCTGCCCACCAATCTGGCATTCTTTCCCAGAGTGTACTTTGAGAAAGGGAAGAACTATTCCTCTTTAGGACTCACAGATGTTGGAGGAGATCCCCGTGGAGCAGAAGTCAAGTGTGAGGGCTCCTACATGGGACTCCTGGAGATCAAGCAAATGATTCTGTTCTGTGGAGCACCCAGGACGAAGATGGGAAATATCTGAGCATGTGAACCATCACGGCGGGCACTTGGCCGCCATTTGTATCTAGTCATAGATACATTGGGCATAAATCGGTATTGGAATCCATGCAGCCACTGTTAATTGTGTTTCTACACAATACATATACTCTTTAGCCTTCAAATCCAGAAGAAGGAACAGAACGGAGTTATAAGAGAGATAACCAGTAGGCTTGATGTTATAAAGTATGAAAAGAACTGGATATTCTGGCCTAAAGTCAAAGGCAGAGATTTAAGGGGGAAAATATGAACTATGAGCTTGCCTTAATGAATAATACAACTAAACCAAACTAACCAAAATAGTCTTCGCAAGGATAGGACTGGGGATAATACAACATAAAACCCCTTAACCTAAAGGACATATGAGTCCAGGAAGAGCACATATGTGACAGAAATTACCAGGAAGTGAGAGGGGAAAAAAATCTACACTGTATTAATATAAAATTGACTTCCAGAACAAGGCAGATGACTATACTGCCACCTGGAATGGTGCACCCATTTCCTGGTGACCCATTTGAAGAATACTGTTGACAAAATGGGGAATACCTTGAGAATAACCCAGAGAACGATGACCAGGATTTTGAGGGGTCTGTAACCTGTGATTTGCCATGAAGGTCAAAAGAGTCACCTGCTGAGTTAAAGGTGCTGCAAAGGAAACACGTGCTATCGTCTTCAAATATCTGAGTTGCTGCTGTGTACGTGAGATATTAGGTACAAGATACGCATCTCCAGAGGTAATAACTAGGACCGGAAGGAGGAAGATACACAAAAGTGGGACTTGATAACACTTAGGGATGTTGGACAGTGTCTGGCCCCTGTTTAGCAGTCAGGCAGAGCCAGGATACTGCAGGTGGGACTCTGGAATGACAGGGCAGTGGAAGCGACAGCCTTGGATCCTTTCCAACACCGGTGGCTCATGGCTGTGGTAATGCTTCTCCGTTACATGTATCCTATTTACCCATGATTTTTGTGAAGGGTCCTACTGAGATTTTCTTAAATCACTGAGAAGCTCTGATGGTCGAACCTCCTAACCCAAGTTACCTATCTTTCCTGGAATGGAATAAAATCAGTCCCAATTAAATATTCTGAAAAAGCAAAATACTTACTTGTACAAGTGTAAGAGTGTTTGAGGGGTGCTTGGGTGGCTCAGCCGGTTGAGTGTCCAACTCTTGATTCCGGCTCAGGTTCATGCACGATTGCATAGTTTGTGGGATGCAACCCCAAGCAGGTTCCATGCTGGGCACGGGGCCTGCTTGGGGTTCTCTCTCTCCCTCTCTTTTGGCCTCTCCCCCACTCGCACTCTGTCTCCCTCAAAATAAATAAATAAGACTTAAAAAAAAGTATTTGAGGCTTGTATCTGACTAACAATCAGCCCAGGTTTACGGCTGCTCTCCACAATGCCTACCAAAATAATACCCCAGGGAAGCTTGTACTGTGAGGTTACACCGTGCTGTGTAAATGGAAGATGACAGTGCCATCAGCTTCATAATTATAGCCGTGTCCTCAGAAACGGTGGTTGCACAGACATGAAGTGTTGTCATCACAACGCTTTAGGATCGGGGCGCCTGGGGGGCTCAGTCGGTTAAGTGTCTGACTTCGGCTCACGTCATGATCTCACAGTTTGTGAGTTCGAGCCCCACATTGGGCTCTTTGCTGACGGCTCAGGGCCTGGGGACTGCTTCTGATTCTGTGTCTCCCTCTCTCTCTGCTCCTCGCTGACTTGTGCTCCGTCTCTCTCTGTGTCTCAAAAATAAATAAATGTAAAAAAATTTGTTTTAAAAAAAACAAAGCTTTAGGATAAAATTCTCTTCGGCCAATCACTTTCCAAATGGCTATCTCGACAGCCTTGTTTCTGAGGCTATACACCACGGGGTTCAACAGTGGAGTCACAACTGTGTAGGCCACTGTCACAAGCCTGTCTTTGCTGGATGAGAACTTGGCTGAGGGCCGCAGGTAGACAGAGGAGGCACGGCCATGGTGGACGATGACCACAGTGAGGTGGGAGGCACAGGTGGGGAAGGCTTTCCGCTTGCCATCAGTGGATGGGATCTTCAAGATGGTGTGGACAATGAAGCCATATGAGATGCAGAAAAAAGTCAGGGAGATCATGAGTGTTGGAACCCCACCAATGAAGATGATCAGCTCATGGATGTAGGTTTCAGTACATGCAAGTTGGATAACTGACAAGATGTCGCAGAAGCAGTGGTTGATCTTACTGGGGCCACAGAAAGGGAGTTCAAAGACTAAGAGGGAGCCTATCAGTGAGAACAAAAGCCAATCACAGCACAAGTGGCTTCCAGCTGTCCCCGTATCTGCCAGCTCATGAGGATAGGGTACCGAAGTGGATGACAGATGGCAGCATAGTGGTCATAACCCATGACCCCCAGCCGCATGCAATTAGTGACAGCAAAACCAAAGAAGGAAAGCATCCGAGTGGCACAGTCGACAAATGAGGTTGTTCTGAGTGGGGACAACAGATTTATGAGCATCTTGGGCAGGATGACCAGAGTGTAACATGTCTCAGAGATGGGAAGTATCCTCAGGAAGAAGCACATAGGTACGTGGAGGCTGCGAGCCAGGCATACGACAGTGACAATGGTGATGTTCCCACTGAGAACGATCAGATACAGGCACAGAAATACAGCAAAGAGGATGAGCTTTGGATTTCTCCGAGGTTGGAGAAGCCCAGCAGCAACCTCTGTGACAGAGGAGAAATTAGCTTGGTTGACTTGGTCCCCAAGATTGACCTACAGAGAACAGGAATGAAGAAGCAGATTGTTTATTCTGAAAGAGGCGGGCGGCTTGTCCCACTATGATAGAGTAACAACAAATAGAAGGAGGAAGGCGCAGGCAGGCAGGAAATGCCCAAACGATCATGTCAGTTTATAGAACTGTTTCAAAAAATGTAGAATTACACCTGTTTCCAGGGACATTTTGGCATCTCTTACAGTGCTTAAGTCTAGGTAATGTTTTCACACTGCCTAGTTCAAACGGAGGCGTCTGAAGAGTTCCTGTGTGACAATCCCAACTCTGTCATTTTTCGTCTGTGCCTGTCTTCCCATCTGTCACGTAAAGATGTTAACGGCACCTCTCTCCCAGGGCTCTTATGGAAGTGAAAGCACTTTGCGCAGCACACGCACATTGTAAACTGTTAGTAAATGTCAGCCTCTGCTACATATGTTGTTTAATCTTCAGGAAATGGTTGCTAGTCCTTCTTAAGTTTCCTTTGGGATGTGCTTTCAGTGTATCTCCACCTGTTTTGTGTGTTTTTTTACTCTGTTTTATTTTTAAAAAAACTATTGAGCCAACATTCAAACCCAACTCCTTTTTGTGCATATTTTTAGTGATGATAATAATGCGTGGACATTAGTTTATCTTTGGACCGAATCCCGCAACCTGTTCGACCCACTGGAGAAAGGGGTGTCGGAAGGAGGCATTGTGCACCGAAATAGCTCTAAGACCATTTCAGGTTCTTACGGTCACGCAGGGCATTGGTCTTACCCCCTGCTTACCACTTTGCCAGGAAGAGCAAACTGATTTAGAGTTCTCCTATAAGCAATTTTAAGCTTCAAACAGAAATCCATCCAACCCATCAGACCTCTCCTCGATCTGAACCATTATATTTCTGCACGTTTTCCTTGGATTTCCAACAGAGCTCACCTCTGCGTTGGGCACACCTGTCCTCGAGGGGTTCAGCTCCCTGTAATTTCTCCTTGCTAAAGGATGGACAGATCCTTTCCCCTCCATTCAACTGAAAGCAAGTATGAATTTAATAAAGTAATAAAGAAACATCCAGACCAACCAAACAATTGAAAACAATAAAAGCACAGAATAGATTGCAAAACGACATTCTTTAGCTAATGTAGCTCAATTCCAGAGCCCGGCTGACTGCTGATCCCACACCTCTGGGGGATCGTGCCTTCACCCACGTCAGCTCTGAGTGCATTCGTGTTGGGTTCCCTTGCTTTCACGAGAGCACTGGAAGTGCGAGTGTCTGCTTTATTTTTCCATCTATGATTCTGGATCCTCAAAACCCTTTATGCATCACTTGATGGCTAACAAAAGATCACCACCAGGATCTTCCCTGAGGAATGTAACTCATTTACCTCCTCAGTTCCCATCTCTGAGGCTTAGATGCTTTGTCCACACAACGTTTGGGTGGTGAGGTCTAAAGACAGCAGAAGGTCTGTAAGGAAAGACATCTCAGACACTTGCTTCTTTCACTCTTTGGTCACCCATTAGACTTTTCTGGTATACCACTGTCGCTAGAGAATAGTTTCATGAGACATTTGAGAATGGAAGCTGAATGAACTAAATGTTGAGTGATGCCCTATTTTATTTTCTCTCCCCAAAGCCCTATACTGTCCTCCATTTTTCCAAGCTACCACACATGTGCGTCCCTTACTCTCCTCACATGCTCTTTGTAACCCTCACTAACGAGACAGACAGACTGAAGCTCATGGGATCATTAGGACTTTTCTAAAATTATCGCTGGTGCCTGGCACTTGTCTATTACTGGACCCAAACACTATCTTCACTTGATCCCCCACGTAAAGTAACCCAACGGGGGTTATTTCCCTTTGCTCCCTTAGCACACAGCGAGTAGAATCCAGTGACACCCAGAAATCTCATCAAAGGAGACTAAAACAATTAATGTTGCTATAATCGTTTCTATCCCAAAATGGCTTTACTCTCTTCCTTTCTACTATGGACATCTCCATGAGCCAAACTGTGTACTCCTACTTCCTCTGCTGAGAATTCTGGGAAGTATCCCCTGAAGCATCATAGAAGAACCTTTCTTTTGTCTCTCATTAGCTGTGGTTCCGACATGCTGGTTTATATTTATACTTTCCCAAGCTCCTGGGAGCCATTATTACAATTTTATTTTTGGCACGGTTCCAATCCTTACAATGAGGAAAGAGGATGCAGGCAACCCCGTGGACTCAAATCTCACAGGGCCAGTTGGATAAAAAGAGAACAGGAAACAAACCCTGACGTTGGCAATTAGTTGGCAATCAGTCCCAGGTTGCCTCGTAGCTCATTAGGAGCTGAAAACCGTGGCAGGTGAAGGACAGAGACGTGCACGTGAAAACCCATATGGTAGGAGGCGACGCAGGGCTGTCTCTTCCGGGGTCTTTCACGTGAGGGAGAAGCCCCTTCCTTGGACATCCCCAGGACAAATCAAGTCTTGTTCTGGCATTGCAAAAGAAGAAACAAAGCTCTCTCTGTCAGTCAAGTTTCCTCTGAACCTCTCAAATTACGTGTCTGCACCAAGGAGAGGGTGTGGGAGCATGGCGTGGTGTCTTAGCTGGCAGAACTGAGACCTCCACGAGCAGCAGTGAGGAGTAGATTTGAGGACCAAGGGAAGGGGTGGGGTGTTTACACGCAGGTCACATATGTGACACCACACTTTTCCTAGCTTCCTGGAGATGACAAGGTCTCCAATCAGTGTCAGCCCCAAGGGTAGGGAATAGGACCAAAACCTGTGGGTAATACCTTCCAGGGCTTGGCAAGCCAATGGTCTTCATTCTTCCCTGTAATTCTCTCTCTTTTTTAAAAAATGTATTTATTTATTTTGAGAGAGAGAGAGAGAGGCAGAGAGAAAGGGAGACAGAGAATCCAAGCAGGGTCCACACCGTCAGCACAGAGCCCAACGTGGGGCTTGAACTCACCAACGATGAGATCGTGACCTGAGCCGAATGACCAGAAATCAAGAGTCGACGCTTAACGGACTAAGCCCACCCAGGCACCCCATCTTCCCTGCGATTCTCTGATAGCCTGACCCAAGACAGACAAGTTCCTTGGGAATCATTATTCTTCCTCTTCAGTGACATAATATAAAAATTCCACCGTCTGTACCTTCCCTCATGAATCATGACTGAGTCACAGGGATGTCTGAGAGCACTGAGTGCACTCCCTGAGTGCAGGGAGTGTTGCTGCAGGTTCGGGAGTGGCCCTGGGCAGAGATGTTCCTATTGGCAGGTCCCAGCCTGCAGAGCAGCAGAAATTCCTAAGTGAGCTCATTCCTGACTCAGACTCCTCGTCTTTCCAGTTAGATCATTTTCAGAGGCCACCAGCTGAGATCTGACAACAGCTACTGCTGCTTCCGGTAGTTGTCAAATGTGCACATGAGCCCCTGGCAAGAGCTGCTGAACCCCGGGGTTCCTGGGACATCTGGTCCGCTCAGTGCATCTTCCTGAATAAACGTTTCTGCACAGGGACGGGGGCCTCGCTGCGGCACAACACCTGTTCAAAGACCTCCAAGGTTTCCAAGCAGGAAGAAATCTGAAAAACACCGCAGTTAGTCACATTTCTGGGGTCAGTTTTGGACACAGTTATGGATTTAGTCCCTCCCTCAGGCACTGGAAGATACTTTTTCAGGAAGTTAAAATTAGCCATTATTTTTTATTAGAGCTTAAACTCAGGTTTCCAGCAAACGTAGAGGAAACATACTCCATCTCAAATATTTCAGTATGGTCCATGCATGCAATCAAAGCAATAGCCCTGGACAGGCTAATCGCACATTCACAGAAAAGATTATCAACTAAATTCAAATGGAGACACTTCGTCTTGAGGAAAGTTTTGTTGGCAAATGCTGTGTATCACCCCCACTGACTTCATCCCCAAGGCTCTAGATCCTCGCGACTACAATGGTGGCTTTCGTGGCCATGGAGACACTGTTATCAGGCACCAATCCCAAGTTTGAACAATGTGAACATAGGAAGCATAGGTTTCAGTTATATTTTCCAGCAACTGCTGTAGGAAATTACTTCTAATTCTTATATTTACATTCTTTAGGATTCGGTGAGACGAAAGCTCTCAAGAATCTGCATTTCTGTTGCTTCTCTCTCTGCACCTTGCCTTGTATTAAAGTAAAGGGAAAAGATACTAAGTGAAGAAAAAGAGGATAGTATATAACAAAGGTACAATTTAAAATCTTTTCAAAATATGGGATCTCAAAGAAGAAAAAGTAAAATGAGAATTTCTAATACATAAAGTTGTAAACAGTTTTGAACTAAGAAAGACATCTGTGTTTTATATAATAAAAGCAGCTGTTAGAAGAAGCTGTTAAACTTTTTTTTAATTTTTACTTTTTTAATGTTTATTTATTTGAGAGAGAGAGCGCGTGAACACGCATGAGCAGGGGAAGGGCAGAGAGAGAAGAGACACAGAATACAAAGCAGGCTCCAGGCTCTGAGCCAACAGCACAGAGCCTGATGTCGATGCGGGGCTTGAACTCAGGAATAATGAGAGCATGACCTGAGCTGAAGTGGGACGCCTAACTGGCTGAGCCATTCAGGTTCCCCAAAGCTGTTAAACTTTAAAATTACTATGTAATATAAAAACTAACAAGATATGATGGTTACTTTTTTCTACGTAAATTTGACTGGGCCATGTGGTACCCAGATATTTAGTTGTATATTATTCTGGGTGGGTCTGTGAGTTTTTTTCTGGATGAGAATAACATTTGAGTCAGTAGACTGAGAAAAACAGATTGCACTCCCCTACGTGGGTGGGCCTCGTCTAGTCAGGTGAACGTCTGAATTGAACAAAAAGGCTGAGTAGAAGAGGTTTCTTTCTCTGAGCCTGGCTACCATAGAGCTAGGACGTCAGTCTCCAGCCTTAGCATCTGCACATGGACTGGAATTTCCACCACTGGCTTTCCTGGTTCTCAGATGTTCAGACTTGTACTGAAATGATACCTTTGGATCTCTTGGTTTTCCAATCTGCTGACTGAAGATCTTGGGAATTCTCAGCCTCCATAATCGCTTCAGCCAAATCCTTATAGTAAATACCTACGTATTCATCTATTTGATGCATCTAGATGATCTATCTATACAAGATATACGGATATTCTACTGATTCTGTTCCTCTGGAGAATCCAGACCAATACGCAAAACAGGCTATGCACATAAATCATAGAAATAAAAATAGAAAGAAAAAAGAAAAAAATCTTTCAAATTACACTATAAAAAGAAGACTGTGTTATGTTAGTACCTCTGGCTTTCGAGAGAAAGAAGGAGAACATGATTGAGCATAAGGAAAGGGAATCTGTTAGCTGAAACAATGGGGAAGTTCATGACAAACCTGATCAGATATGGCTCAATTCGGGAACTTGCATTATGGGTTATTCTGAGTCTTGACTCAGAGGCCAACCTCAGAGAAATGTCTTTATCCATAATTTACTTCTCTTTAGCGCGTCCCACAATTTATGATTATTGTCTATTAAATAGAAAATATAATGTCTGTGATTATATCTCTCTTTTCCAACCCTGTGGGGATCTTTCCCTCTGTTCCACTAAATGTTTAGACTCCATATCTAAGATATTGCCTGATACACAATAGACATTCAATAAATATTTGTTGAGTGAATGCATTTTGATTGAAAAAATCTTTTTCCCATTCTCTTTCACTTGACCTAGCTTTACTCCTTGTGCTAGATTTCTTTAAAAAAATTTAATGTTTATTTATTTTGAGAGAGAGAGAGAGAGCGCGCTAGGGAGGGGCAGAGAGAGCTGGGGAAGGGCATAGAGAGAGGGAGAGAAAGAGTCCCAAGCACCACAGAGCCTGATATTGGGCTCAAACTCACGAACCGTGAGATCTTGACCCAAGTCAAATCAAGAGTCAGATGCTTAACTGACTGAGCCACACAGGTGCCCCTTTGTGCTAGATTTCTTACTCCGTGAGCTGGCTTTATCCAAATAACAGGATAAAAATGGAGACAAAAGTCTTGAACCTCCATTTTTAGTGATGTAATTCAAAAGACTGAGAGATTCAGTCTACACAGCTATATATGGAATTTAATCAATGTTCTTCCTCTATAGAAGAGAAGGTGGGACACTGTGTGATAGATTTCATGGACCTTTTTAACCAGCCCTATGCTGAGGAATGGAGGGGGTAGGGTTTGTCTCAACAGGAACTCTTGAAATGGTTCCTAGATAAATTGTTTTGTTGTACTGAAAAAAGTGAAAAATAAAATCCAATTTAAATTGGATTCACTACATAAAAACGAAGAACCATCCATCACACCCATATCTGAACATACATCAGCACATCAGGAGATTAGCTCAGGCAAACTGTGAGTCACAGACCATGATGTCATCAGACCATGAAGTCATCAGAACTCAGTCTGTTTTCCCAGCTCTCCTTTGTTCTCTATTTCAACTT